ATCAATCAATTTTTGGAGAACTATTATTTCAAAAAAATATTTTTTGTATCACGTACCTAGCAGGTTTTTAAGGACTCATTTGCTATAACAGCAAATATTCATCCTAAAAATAGTATGTTACGTGAGGAGTCCGGAAAGTACTATTTTTTTGGACGAGTAGACAAGTCTGCGAGTCGAAAAAAACACTTTCCGGGCGTATTACGTAGACTATTTTTTCGGCCGAAAAATACATACTTCCCAGACTAGGTCGGAAAGTAATCACTTCCTGGCCTAACTAATCACTTCCCGGCGTAGGCTGAAAAAGACATACTTTCTTAATCTTGAGTAAAACGCGTCCGGAAAGTATGTACAGGGTGATCTATTATAAAGGGGGTGACCTTCTAACTAACAGAAGTGTCAAATACAAAAGTTTTGAGAAATTGTCAAAAGTTTTCAACTTAGTCAGTTTTAAGCAAGACGACTTATAAATAGGCGCACATACATGGTCTTCCATTTGAAAAAATATTAGTTCGCTCTGCTACACTTTTTTGACGCCCCCTATATCCTTGAGACTGACCTAGTTGAAAACTTTTGACAATTTCTTAAAACTTTGTATTTGACACTTCTGTCAAAAACGTCAAATGAAAAAGTTAGGAGGGGTTTATATTAGATTTTAGGTACTTGTACAAAAATAGCTATTTCTGTTAGCCCTCCAAAAATTTCTGGCCTCCGAATTTGCCATACTTACGATGTCCATATGGTGAAGGGGGCCCGCGGTAGTCTTGCACCAGGGCCCGGTTTTGACTTGCTACGTCACTGAAAAAAATCCATAGTGGACGAGTGCAAAATAAAAAATTCGAAATATTCTTCTATACACAGTGAGTTAAAGCTATCAATTTTTAAAAAAATATACCTATCAAGAGTATCTACTTATCAATATTGACCATAATTCATAGTCAGGTAACATCCATGTATCATGTAGGTATTAAATTAAGCCTACTAAACGTTGAAACATGACTGGATATTTATCAAAGGGAATAAAATAAATACATTTTATTCCCATTTGCTTTTTGAGCTCTGGGTATGTGATTTATTTACTAGCGCCATTTTTAACTGTGTGATTGTTTTATCATACAATAAGAATATTTATGAAAATTGTATCAATAAAAAGAATCTAAAAGTGATATTTTGAATATATGCCCACATAATATTTTTAATTCGTATTGGATGCTCGGTCTATTCTTTTTCTGTAATTCTTATTAAACAAGTTTCAGAATTGCGGTTAGCCATCAGAAATTATTGCTATTGCTAAGCCATCATTATGTGTTCATATATAGGTACTATGATAATAATTAATAAAAAATTACATGGAATTATAAAAGCGATATCAGATGATATCATCATTGATTTAAAAATAAAAGTGATACATACCTACTGATTAGTAAAACGGATTTACTTATATCAGGAGTAAAGTTCTTCTTTACTTATATGATAACAGAGCTTATGAAAGTTGAAGAAAAACCAATCTCATGCTAACGGCACTGGCAACTGTGTGTGAAAAAATGAAAAATACAAATACGGCCATTAATACTTCCCTGTTTTAGGATAAAGAGGCAATTTATTTTGCCTGTATTTGGTTAAGGAGGAAACGAGATGTCTTTATAAATAATTGTCACGTTACTTGGACGGATGATGCAAATTGTAACCTTTACCTGAAATCTTGGATACTGAAGCAATGAAGTGAAGCTTATTTTAGAAATACCTCTATATAGGTTCATTAATATTATTTGCACATTTGCCAAAGTAAATTAAAGTAGGTATAGTAACGGCGAATTGATGTTAACCTATATACTATTACGTATATTTTCATAAAAAAATTAGGATAGCCCTAAAACAAATTTCTTTATGTTGGTCCGTATAGCTATTCAGCTATATTTCTTCAATATTAAGGTTTAGTCGTTGCTAAATATGTATATTATTTTATTGATAGACTGTTGATTTTCCATGAAAACAATAGACCTATGATAAATCTTAACTACAAATTACAATAAGGTATTATCAGGTGTATAAGAATCCCCACATTACTCCTCCCCTAAATGAAGTTTTTAACATTTATTAAAATCAAAAAAAAAAAAATCAAAAAAAAATTCAAAATATTTTAATATTTCAAATTAAATCTGATACTTTTTTGAATCTTGTTCTGGTGGTTGTTGTCTACTTCATCATTTATTATTGTTTGTTCAAAAAATGCTGGTTTAAGTTTATCAATTGAGATAGTTTTTCGTTTTCCATTAATAAGAAGAGTAAAGTATTTTCTGGATCTTTCAAGACCTTTGTATGGACCTCTGTAAGGGCACACCAAAGATTTCTTGATTATGTCATGTGAACAATCTTCTAAATCTTTGTAGACGAAAACGTTTTTCTTGCTATGATCTGAAGCACTTTCAGGTTTCATTTTTTCCATAGCTTGTTGTAACTCTTTTACCATGCATTGGGGACTCAGCGCTGTAGGCTTTTTTAGGAACTTCTCACCTGGAAGACGAAGGGTTTTGCCATAAACAAGTTCTGCACAAGAGCAATCAACGTCTTCCTTTACAGTAGTCCTTAATCCCAACATAACCCATGGTAAAATTTCTGTCCATTTGGGATTTTCCTAACATTTTATTGACTGCTTAAGGGATCGATGAAACCTTTTTATGATACAATTAGCACAGGGATGATATGCTGTAGTACGGCTAGGGTGAATCCCAAGAAGCTTTGTAAATTCTCTGTATAAAGACGATTCGAACTATGCACCCTGATCGGTTGTTATTTTCAACAGAACTCCAAATCCGGCAATCCATCCAGTTAGAAATGTTTGTGCAACTGTAAGGGCCGTTATATTCTCAATTGGCCATCTTGTATATCTGTCTATGCAAGTAAGTATATATAACCATCCGAAGGTGGAAGGGGCCCCACAATATCCATATGAACTTGTTCAAATCTTGTCTGTGGAATATCATAATTTTCTTTGGTACTGCAAACATGTCTTGTAACTTTCGCTTTTCGACACGGATGCAACAACGAACCCATTTTTTAATGTCCCTTTCCATATTTGGCCATACGAAATTATTTTCAATAAGTCTAACTGTAGCTCTAGAAGGATGTCAAAGACAATGATTTTTATCAAAAACCTGTTTACGTAAAGTCGAAAAAACAAAGGGCCGACATTTTTTATTGGATGTATCACAGATAATTTTAATATCTAAATCTGGAATTTTGATTTCTTCTAGGTTCATCGAGGTATTCTGATTCTCAAGTAATAAATGTATAATAATTCTCCATCTAATTGTTGACTTTCAAACCAATGTTGGTAATCAAATGTGTTTTGTAAGTTTATTGTATGGATTCTTGACAATGGATCAGCAACTACATTTTCACTATATTTTCGTTGAGCATTATTCAATTTTGTAGAGAAAAATCCTAATGGTTTCCATTCTTTGTTTTATAATTGTTGCACTACTCCACCTATGCATGAATCTGATGCATCAACCATTAATCAAATTGGAAGTTCAGGGGCTAGAAAAGTCAATGAAGTTGCATTAGCTATAGTTTCTTTGATTTTTTCGAAAGCATGAATTTGATTATTGTTCCAAATAATGTCTTGATTCTTTTTCGGATTTCCTTTTAAAAATACATTTAATGGAGCTTGATATTTTGCAGCATTTGGAATCGAGGAACGATAATAATTGACCATTCCTAAGAAGCGTTGAATTTGAATTAAAGTTTTTGGTCTTGGGAAATTCATTATTGCTTCTACTTTTCTTGTTGAAGGTTTAATGCTTTCTTTTGATATATAAAACCCAAAAATTTAATAGATGACTTATTAAATTCACATTTTTCTGGGTTAATAACGACACCATAATTTTGTAATTTTTCAAAAATTTGTCTTAAATGCATTTTGTGGGTTTCTTCGTCTTGAGAAGCAATGAGAAAGTTATCGATATATGAAAAACAAAAGGAAGATCTCTGGTAAGTTGATGAATAAATCGTTGACAAGTTTGTGCAGCATTTCTCGATCCAAAGGGCATTCTAACATACCTATTCAAAAAGTCCGAATGGAGTAATAATTGCGTTTTTTTTTAGGTCTTCCTGTGCCATAGGAATTTGATGGAATGCTTTAACAAGGTCAATTTTTAAGAAAAAAGTATTGTTATAGAGAATATACGTGAAATCTTTGATATTCGGTAGTGGATAGCGGTCAGGAATAGTGATTGCATTTAGTCTTCTGTAGTCCCCACATGGGCGCCATTTTCCATTGGATTTTTTAACCATATGTTAAGGACTGGCCCAGGGACTTTTTGACTGTCGTATAATTCCTTCTTGTAACAAAAAATTGAATTCTTTCTTAGCAGCTGCTAGCTTTTCGGGATTTAATCTTCTTGCTTTAGAGTGCACAGGTTGGCCTTTGGTTAAGATTTGGTGATGAAGATTTGCAGTTTTCAAATTTCTGTAAATAGATGATTTAGTTATGTGGGGAAATTTGTTTAGTATAGTTTATGAAAATCTAACAAAGGGTTTACGGTTTTAATTTCTGTTATAAAATTAACATTATTAACAGTACTAAAACTATAAAAAATTGTCTCTGAATCATAAATTTTCTTTTTTTGTAAGTCAACTAGTATTCCAAATTTTTTTAGGAAATCATCTATCATGGGAACTCCACAATCCGCAATCACAAAATTCCATAAAAAACTTCTTTGTAAGCCCAAAAAAACTTCAAAGTTAACTGTTTAAGTGTTAATGATGAAACCATTAGCTGCATATAGTGGTTTCGGCAGAGGTTTTTGGTTTGAAATGGTTTTTGGAATAATGGAAACGTCAGCACCAGTATCTATTAGAAAATTATACTTACTATTGGGATCATAGATAAATAGACGACTATTTCTTTGAACGTCGTTTTCGTCTGTCGCCAGTGACGAGCGGCCTTTTAGTTTTCCGAATTCAATTGATTTTGTTTAAAATAACATGGCTTGATACATTTAGTCTCCAAATGTTTTGTGATAATAACATAAATTGTCTTCTGAAGATTTATGCTTTGGAGTTAAGCTTCTAGATCTTGGAGCTGGTAACATCTGGTTTGACTTAAGGAACATATCCATTTTATAAATCAATGTATCAAATTTATTTTCTAATGCGGCATTTGAATTAACTTGAACCTTTGTTTTGCTAATATTACAAAAAACGTCAGAGTTTTCGCCTTTAAACATTTCATCTGACATATTCAACAATGCTTCTTCTATCATTTGGTCTTTCAAAGCTCTAACAACATTCGCAATATTTTGGGGTAATTTATTGATCCAAGCTAACAATATATATGACTTTGACATTTGTCCTGAAGCCAGTTTGGACATTTCATTAAATAATTGACTTGGTTTCCTATCGCCCAATTTGAACATTTTTTCTTCATCTGAGATTTTGTAATTCTTAACAAGATGTTTTTTAAGCAAAGAGTACGCATCATTTTTGTCTTGAAAATTGAAGATATTCGAATTTTCTTGAATTATGGAACAATCTGGGATGGAAATTACTTTTCCAAATTTAATTTTTTCATGAAAAATGTTGTTTATTTCAAATATAGAATCAACTGTTTTAAACCATAATTCTGGTTCTTCTTTCCAAAATGAAGGAAGAGAAAATGCTTTGGATTGATCATTTTTAGGTAATACTTGTTGATTATTATTGTTGGAAGTGGATTGAATTGTTCTCTCAAGATTTATCAGTCTTGTTTCAAAATTTTGAAATTTATTTTCATTACTGTCGATTTTTTGTCTAACAGTGTCAATCAAAGATTCTAATTTTTAAAATTTTTCGACAAAATATTGCGAATTCAAATCACTTCCCTGAATCTCATGAATATTTCACTTAAATCAAAATCGCCAATGTTTCTTTCATGTGGAAATGTTCTCGTAAGGTATTCTCCAATTTCAATTAAAGATCATTAAGGGTACCTGCAGTATTAACTTTAAAATGCTTCAGCAGCAATATGATTTGTTCCCTGTTCAGATCGTCGAATTGTATATTCATCTTTCCAGTCGGGGTCACCAATTATAGTTATTCAGCTATATTTCTTTGATATTAAGGTTTAGACGTTACTTATTTTATTGATAGACTGTTGATTCTCCATGACAACAATAGAACTTTCCTAATTCTTAACTACAAATTACAATAAGGTATTATCAGGTGTATAAGAATCCCCACAGTCCGCTCACAAAAGACAAAGTCTAATACTACCTGAGCGGTACCATGAGCGGGAGAAATTAAGTGACGATTGATCTGTTTGAACACATTAAAGGTTATATCGTTCAGGAAATGAAGTTGGAGGCCAGGAGTTCCACAGGTGGACAGAACGCCAACAAAAAGAAGACCTTTATTTAGAGGTCCTCGGGGTAGGAAGTTTGCCGAGGAGCCAAAGTTCTCCAATTTATGCAGAAGCAAGTGATGTGGAGCCTTATCAAAGGCTTTCTCAAAATCTAAGTATATAACGTCCGTTGGTTGCGAGGTCTCGTGATTTGTTGTCCAGTGATCAAGGCAAGTTAGCAGATTTGTTGTAGGATCGTTTTGGAATAAAGCCATGTTGCGTTGGTGTTATTAAATTGTTTCCAACAAAAAATTCAGTCAGATCTTCAACAATAATTCTCTCCATACACTTACAGGGATTACATGTAAGGCTGATAGGCAGGTAGTTCGCTGCTAAGTTCCTGTCCCCCTTCTTGAATAGAGGTGTCACAACTGCTTGTTTCTGGCATTACTCCAGTGACCATAATATTCTGATACGCTGACGCAAGTAGTGGACTAAGCGAATTTGCAGACTTCTGAAGAAATATTTTCGGAATATTATCAGGGCCTGGACTCGGACTTCATTTTATTTAATGCAGCGAATACCTTTTCTTCTTTTAACTCTATGTATTCAATGCTATTGATGGTTCTTGTTCCAGGAGCCAGATGTGGGAGGGCGCTGATCGGATTATGGGAAAATGATTTATTTAATTGCTCTGCAAGGTTTGAACCTTTTAAATTGTCATGTACAATTATTTCGTTATCATGGTCTTTTAAAGACATATTATGTGAGATACTGGAATTTAAACTTCTGCTAATATATTTATATAAAATCTCTTAGTGGATTCCGATGTTGCAATTTTATTTTCAAATTTTCTTCTGGCTGTACTAATCATATCTTTAAGCATATTATTATGATTATTATATATATATGATAATTTTGTTAAATTTTGTTTTTAATATATTTATCCCATAGCTTCCGTTTCTTGTCGATTTCTTAGCAAATTCTTTCATTTATCCAAGGTTTCTTATGGTTAACTCTAACCGATTTAATTGGTATAAAACTGTTGATGGCACTAGTTAATATATTATTCAATTCTTGATAGGTGACTGGTCCAATACTATGAAATTTTTCTTCTATATAGAACTGTTGATACTTTCGTAATTTGCAGTCCAAAAATTTCTTTTTCTAATAATTTGAGTTGGTTGTGGCTCAATTTTAATATGAGTTTTAGCGGTTAAGACAATATGATCGCTTTGGCCAATAGGCATATGTTTTTCAATGTCATAAACAGACTTTTTATTGTTGGTTAAAAATAAATCCAATAATGACTCTTGAGTGTTTCTGTATCTAGTCGGAAATGGTACCATTTGATGTGCATTTATCTCTTTATACATGTCTAGAAAATCCTTAGTTTTTTTGTCGGACCCATTAATTGAAATACTAGGCCAAGTTATGAGAGGAAAGTTGAAGTCCCCAAATATGAATGTAGGGTTCTCAAGAGAAAATGCACTCTTAATTGCATCGTAAATTACAAGTTTCGGTGGTATATTATCCAGGTCCATGAATATTAGCAACGGTCATCTTATTTGTGCCTATTTTAACATCCAACCAAACTGAATTAACTGGTGGTTATATTTGATTTATTTGACAACTTTGCATTTACTTTATGTCCACCCAAATTACTTTTAACATAGACACAAACTCCACCCCCTTTCTGATTTATGCGATCTTGTCGAAAATAACAATATTCATCCAATTTGATAAAGCTGTCTGTTAAAGATTCATGCAACCATGTTTCTATTATCAGAATAAAAGTGGGTGGAGAAGCAAGGTTAGAAATGCTTATTTTAAATTCATCTGTTATATTCACAAGAGAACAAAGGACAAAGATGACACTGACTTGACACTTTTTGTCATTTTTGAGGTGATAAAAAAGGTCGATTCACACAATAGGAAAATGCGTACCAGTTTTATGATTGGCCAAGTGTACGGGTATAAGTGAGATGGGATGATAATTGCTAGGAAGAATTTTCTTGCTCTTTTTCGGGATTGGCTGCACTCTGGCGCATTTCCAAATAGACGGAAAAACGCCTCGACAGTAAGAGAATGAAAACAGTTTGCAAAGATTGAAGCCAATTCTTGTGCGCAAGTTTTGAGGGCACTTGTTGACCTCGGAACCACAAAATTCTCCAGTGTCAAGTTGCAGAAAAATTTTCCTAATAGTTTTAGGTCTAAATACAATGTTGTCCATGTAAAAACCAATGTGTAGCAGTGCCTGTGGCGTTCTGCCATTGTCCTCCATCGCAAATTGTTTGGCAAAGAGATCTTGCTTGCTTGAAAGCTTCGTTCGGCAATCCCGTCATTCTTTCCAGTATTCTTCTTGAGATACGTTGCTGCATCTTATTCAGTGCCGAACTTCTGCGTCACATCTGCATTTGTCAAAATTTTTGTATCGAGGTAGGAATGGGAAGTATTCTATATTTTCCATGGTTTCTTCATTGATACTGACACTGATGTAGTCGATCCAAATTATTTTTTTGTTCGACCAAAAACATTGCCCTTCAAACAAAAATATCCATTCCTTTTTCATGTGGACTTCCTGCACTATACTTAAAATAATTGGGTCCTAATTTGTTATAAGTCGGGTGACAGTTAAGAGTTAGGAATTGTGTTTCAGATGTTTTTTGTAGGTACTCCAGCAAGAGTAGATTATTATAGTTTTCCAGTTCACTCCATTGTTTTTAATGTATAGGCGCTCCCAACAATAAAAAACGATTTTTTTCAATATCATTTTCTTCCTAAAAACATCCCCTTTTAAAGTCAAGGAAAAACGATGACAAATCGCCGAGGGAGGAACGAAGGCGTAATAATAAGAGAGTATACAAGTACATCAGGGCAAAAGAAGGGAAAGTTTCCTCGAAGTTTGCCCCCAGGAGATGACGGAAGATATTGCAGTGCCGATGATAAAGTTACGTAGGTGCTATAAGTGGAAATGCAACACCTAATAAATCAGTTATGAAATTCAGAGGGTAAAAAATGAAGATGAGATTCTGTGTTGGCAGAAATAATCATTGAAAATTCCTACATGGCAACAGTTCCGCGCGTCAATCAGGAAGGTTTACTTGTCTGTAACTGATTTTTAATTTTTTTTATGCTACCGAGGTTGTACTGTTATGCAGAAATTATTTCGCCGGAAAAAACTTGCCATGGTCAGTACCAAACCTGATCTAGCCTTTACAAGAATGCGGCTAATCGCTTTTTTACCCTTAACCTACCGACTACCGAAATATTTTGTGATTGCTGAATGTCTTCTAGTGCCTGAAGTCTCGTAACATTGGAAATATGTATACTCGTTGGAAGAAAAACCGTGATTAGTTGTTTAAATTCATGCAGTAAAAGCTGGGAACCAACTGGTCTTTAACATAAAGAATCTTATCGTCAATAAGATCTTTATCTGATAATCAGTCTTTATTGGTTATCGAGTACAGTATCTATTGGATATCACGTTTTAATAAAGCAATTTTCGAAATTATATATCTGAAACACCCTATAGTAAACACTTGTTTTTTCCGATTTTTAAGAAGCTCTCGTTAACAAAATATTATAATAGATGTTTATCCATGCCAACACATTATCCATCCATACTGTAAAGTAACGATAATTTAATAGCAGCGTCCCCGACCATAGATTTTATATAGTGTCTAGTATTGTGCTCGCATCTACGGGCCTGTATCATCATTTCCAACTTAGAGACGATCAGATACATATTATATCCCCACGTAAATAATACTCTGGAAGATTTACGTCTAACAAGCGCAAACAAAACTTTGTTGCGAACATGCGATCTTTCTGAAAATTTGCATTAAAATCTTGTCTCGGATCCGATTTCAGAAAGCCGTACAGACAATGAATTTCAACCGGGGAGACTTTTCAAGAGACCCCCTGGAGCATAATAATTAAAAATTTTAATCAAGTAATAAAGAGTTCATTTTTATTTTTGACTGGGTCCGAGTTAATTAGGATGATGCTGACTTATGCTAATTTTTAGCCGTAATTTTTTTAGCAGAGTCAGACTAAATTTTTTTTTTATATTGAAAAATTATAATGTACTAAATAAATACTTCCTACTAACATTTTAAATTTTGGATTTAATTCAATTTTTCTTCAGTATTTTATAAGCTCCAGCTAATGGGAAATTAATTTATACCCAAATAAAAAATCCAATTTTTGCTGTGCCGTTTACGAGCTTTTGTAGAGATTCTCAGAAGGCTATTTTGATTACTAACCTATGACTGAATCAGGATGAATTGATAATTAATGTCTCTAAAGCCGAGATCCTGTTTTATTTTTAGACGCCTCCAGGTCAAATTCTAGATTTTTGTGGAAACAGTCATTGCCAAAAATAAACTAATGTATTGTTTGGTTTGAAATAAAACTCATTTCAAAAGAGACACGTACCATTATAGACAACAACGTCGAAATGCGAAAGACAACCCAGCAAAGCAGAACCC